ATAGTGTTTTATCTGGCTGGAATCAGCCAAAAGAATTGTGGGTATGAAGAGATGGACATGTTCAACAATAATACACAGGTGGACTGTGCCATTTTTATTAATGCTCAGTTGGCATAAATGACCCAAAGTGTGCCAAGAAAATACCCCCCAAACCCTTACAGCACCACCACCAGGCTGAGCTGGTGATACAAAGCAGGATGGATCCATAATTTCATTTCAATCAATGTAAATGAATAAAATCAAAACTTTACTAACAACACTAAAAAAAATGAAGCTGATATGATAACAATATGCAAAATACACAACATGAGACTTCAATTATAAGCTGAACTTCCTGTTCTTCTCTGCTGCTCTGTAGCTGATGTTGACACTGTGACTGATTAACAAAGTCCAAATGTAGAGGCCAGCTGTCCTTCTTCTACATGTTACAGCAGTTTGAACAGTGTTGTTCTTGGCTTGACTAAAACATTTGTCATTAATATAACATAGCTTAACAATAACTATCATTGCAACATGAAATAATCTCAGTGCAGATACTTCAGGCAACAACTGTTTGATCTGAAGTAATGCAGTGCCCTCTGTTGACCAGTTATAAATATCATCATTAATATTATATTTTGAGACTGAGACTATCCAAAAGCCCTCTGAAGTTTTACTGCAGTATTCAAACAGACAAAGCTTTCTTTTTGCAGATCCATCGGTTCGTCTCATTACAGCTCACTGATTTAAATCCTTGGTCTTGGACAGAGATTGCACAGTGACTATCAGAAGGAGGCTGGTCGATCCAGGCGCTGAGGAAAACAAGAATTCTGCTCAAGGCTGATGGACACTGGTACACTGTAATTGATTTATCACAGATTTGGGAAATACTTGGAATTTATTTTGAGTCAAAGTGTCTCTTACCTATTAGCCGCATCTCTTCCATCCAGCCACTTCCATTTCCCATCTTCAACTCTCAGACCAATCCAGTATCCTTTGTTTCCATTATATCTCCAACTCTTTTCACTGACAGTTTTCTGAGGACAAAGAGAAAGTTGTCAGAGTTATTTAAACAATTTGCTCTAAGAAAGCTTTCAATCTAAAGAAATTATA